AAAAAAAAAAATACTCTCAAACTTTTGTTTTATAATATTAGTAAGATTTCAAATTAAATTCTAGTCTATATTTCAGATTCTGACAAAGAAAACTCTGACGAAAGAATAAATCTGACAAGAAACAGTTCAGATATAAAAGCTTACCAACTTGTAATAGAGAAAGAAGCACACCCCACACCCAAAAAGTGCAATGATTCCATCAATAATATAGTTAATAACTTATCCCTAATAAATAAGTTAAAGAATAAGAATAGCTTCAATGAATCTATGAAGAAACCTCTAAATTATTATAAGCATCGACTGACTAGAAATATTCAATCTCCTATATTGCAAAAATCACCATTATGTAGCACACCTTTCAAAATGAAATACAGAGGCGACTCCATTTTTAAATTCTCACCTATATCACTGTCTAATGATGACAATAGTCCAAAATATACAACTATAACCGAGGATAATGATAATGCAAACAATAGTGTAATACTAACGTCTCATAGTAAAACTAAAAGTTTTAAAAGTCATATAGAAAATAAAAATGTAACTAAAGAAGACTTAGTTCCTGATAATAGTGTTAATAATGATATAGACAATGAAATAGTTGCTCCAGTAATTGAAACTAGTATAAATGAAGTGGCTGAAGCTGTGTATGAGAAGAATAATTCTATACATGAGGGAGAAACTTCTGGATTAATTAGTGAAAGTAAAGCAATATCCAGTATTGAGATTAGTTCTTTACAAACTACTGAAGTTGAACCATTTTTAGGCTTCCCCACTGACCCTAATGTCAGCAAAGATATAATAGCAAATATAATCCCAGATTTAGATGAAACAGAACATGATAATGATGTTACTGAAATTGAGAACAAAGATCAAAGTGATATAGAAGAAGCTGTAAATGAAAGTGATGCTGCTAATAATGCTGAAATTGATGTTAAAGATGATGACAATGACTCACACGACTTGGAAAATGCTGATAGAGATTCTTTGTATGACACTTGCACAAGTGATCAAAGTTCTATTGAAGAAAATGTTGTCAGAGAGCCTATTGTAAGGCTTCAAAGGATGAATGACTCCTCATTCTTTAGGTATTATGAAAATATGAATAATTTTGACTCTGTAGGTGACAATACTAAAGAGAGCCTGAGAGAGGAATCTGATGATGAAGAACCTATAATTGATAATGTTCTAAATGAAGACAATACAAGTCAAGATGAGGTACTTTCTCAAGAAGACGAATTTGAAAGTTTCGCAGATAGTAATACATCACAGGACCATATATCTGAAAGTGGTTCTGCTACTGACGGCACTGTAGATAATGATGTTTTCCAAAATGAGGCTGATGACTATATTGATATTGTTTCTTCGAATGATGATGAAGGTGAAGCAAATGAACAAGAGAAGTGCATTAGTTTTGTAACAACAAGAAGAAGGAATGGAATTACGAATGATTCAATGTTGTCTATCTTTAATGATTCCTATGCTTCCACTAGTACTGATTGTGATAAGACTGTTCTTAGTAATAATAAAGTTACAATAAGCGAAATTAACAAAGATAATGATACAGATTCTTTAACATCTTTAAATGAACAAGGCAAAAATGATATTGGCGAAGTAACAAAAGATCTTGAAGATCATGATAAAACACAATCAGAAAAAAATGTGCCATTAAAAAAAGAGGAGGACAACAGAATATCATTTGTCACTACAAGAAGGAGTACTGTTGCTGATAGAAAGAGTGCCATAAGAAATAGAAAGAGTTCTATCAAACCTAAAATACAGACTATAGCAGACAGAAAGATTGCTCATTTCCCCAGCGAAAGTTTAAGACACAGTCCAGATAGTTCCAGGAGAACATGTTTCGAGAAACCAGGCATAGTTCTTCAGCCTGGTAAAAAATGGGAAAGGTCTCTGAGCATTTACAGAAGAATTACTATGATGACTGATCATTTTGACCAATCTATTCTTGAAGACGAACCAACTGAGAAAAAGGGCAGAAAATATCGCCAAAGTGTGATCAGTACAATGGAGATGCAAGATATGAACTGTAAGTATTTTTTAAGTCTAACATAAAACTTCCTTGATAGATACCTATTTATATAGACGTAAAGAAGGTGACAACCTCTGTAGTCTTCGAATAATAATGGCATTTATTAAACAAAACATAAATGAATATAATTGACACTTCCATCCAAAGTTTCAGTGTAATGTCAGGTTTGTGTTTTTTGCAGTGAAGAAAATAATTAAAAGCAGTTTATTTACACCTGTAATTAAACACCTTTATTTCTTACAGGTTCCCTACATAATGAATCAATCAATAGTCGCAGAAGTACATTTGTTTCTAAACCAAGTCGATCTACAATTCGAATTGTGAAAGTAAGTATAGTTTGTCAATACTAAAAAAAATATTTTTAAATTGGACACTTCAACTGAATAATGTGTTTTTTTCATTTCAGGACACAGATAATTCAAGACTTAGTCTTTGCAACACCACAGTATTCGATGACTTGAAAGGTAAATAATTTAATGAATTGGATAAAAACCTGTTCTAGCCTAACTACTGCTTAGTAAAATACCGCGTGAAAGTATTGTAAAACAAATGAATACTCGATTTATTTCATTATCCTACTATTTTTCAATCTGTGCTATAAAATGGCAGCATTAACAATAGTAGCTTTTGTATTATTGATATGGCAACACGAAATTGCTCAAGTTGTTGAAAAATTGTAGTATCTGTGGTCGAGTCGTTCTGTTTGTACGCTTTGTGGAAGAAGACGCTCCGCAGTCTTTGTCCATAATAATTTTTATTTTATTTTTATTTGTAACTGCGTGTTTAAAATTTCTTAAGTGAATATAATTTTAGTACTATTGCAAAGCAATAGTAGAATAAACATTTTAAAAGTGATAATTTGTGTTTGAACGCTATAAACGAAATTGTATCTGCCATTGCGTATCCGTAACGGGATAACAGCTTGGTTCTACGCCCTTTGTTCTATTAAAGTGTAAAATCAGCCAAGTGCATGCATCTTTCCCTGCAATACACAGGTTAGTTATTAAATCGTGGTGTTTTGGTTACATTTTACCCTCAGTGTGATTTTGTTGCGTCAACGAGTCGATTACGCACGGGGGGAAAGTACGTTGAGGTACTTCCTACTTTGTGTCATGTACCGTGATTTTGTGAATGACGCGAGCTCTTTTCCAGGTTTTTTGAACGAGGAGTGTGATGATACTATTATCGAATTATCCAAACTCTCGATTGCTGATCAGTCGCACGAGGTCACTGTACTAGACAACTTCCATGATACTTCGAGCCGTATAACTACAGCAAAGGATTACGTGTTGCGTCGATGCAATCAAACGGACGCGATACTCTTTGATGAATGTTATCCAGACGCGTGAGTACCCACTTGTCATTATTATCTACATACCTACCTCTGTCTTGAAAAAAAAACATGAAAAAAAGTAAAATTGGCGATTATTTAGGTCATTTAATTACAAAATAGTGGCATTGTTATTAAACGCAAGCTGTATCAGTAATTTCTCTTTGAGATAACTTGTGTGGTTATACCCTAAATTTTAAATGTTAGTATTCAATGACATGCGAATATGTATAGCTAGCTAAATTGACCAACTGCCCTAGTTTTGAGCTAAGAAACGAATCTACAGTTTTAATTTGTTTGTTACACAACTTTTATATCATTGGAAGCAATAATGTCAAGCTAAAACATCTGAAGTTTAAGCAAAAAGGTTTTATGTAACGGTCTGACTCACAAATGACTAAAACTGGTAGACAAGAACTGTTTTTACAGCTACCTGGGCAATTAGGATTTTCTAAATAACTGAGAAAAGAAACCACCAGAATTTTAATTAGAGTGAACTCATGACTCATAGATTAGACGACTTTTTTGACCTTTTGAAAACAGATTAAAGGACATTGGCCTTTATGTTGCACATGTTTTTACCTACCTACATTAAAAAGGCATAATAAGTAGGCATGTTGATATTTATTCATTAGTCATACACTGCATAGGTAGCGAACTTGAAGGATGTTTTTTATTTTTAAATCCATAGAGGAAATACAAAGAGTTTACATTACCAGTGCTTGTCTGTTTATTTTTTTACAATATTCACACATTTGTGAATTTATTATGATTCTTCAAGGATATGATATTTTGTTCTATTGTATTGTTTCGTTGGTTTGTTGTGAAACTTGTATGTTATACAATGTTCTGTATTAGTTTATCTTGTCAAATTATGTTTCGTAGATATTATTTTCATTGTGATTTTACCTGACTGAAATATAGACACAATTCTTCAAAATAATAGCTAGACTTAGGTATTGTTGAAACAGTGCCTGAACACTAATTACTGTAAAAACCAATTTTCATTGAAAACTTAGTATTTGTTCAGTTACAAGGTTGTGTCACAAGATATTACCTTGTCAATTATTATTTAACATTGAGCATCATTGTTATCATGCCCAATTTAGCAATAATATTTTCAACAAGCACTTGTAAACAGTTTCTTTCATATGTATTTTATTTATACAATATTCCTTAGTGAAAGTTGCAGAGGCAAATCTTTGAATAATAATGGTGTTGCCAACTCTTTATTTGAAAGAAATATTAAATTAGAGAGTTTGTGTCTATGAAATTTGTTTTCTAATATAACTAAGCTGAACATACTTTTTTGCTGCATATTATTGCACCAAATTTAATGTGGTCACAAGATTACTTGGCATAAATATTAAATCTACTGTTCTTAATTACTTCAAGTTTGCCACAGAGTATAAATCACATTCCAATACAATCCTCTTTGCAGTTAATTATATTTGTTTAACAATTAATTATCTGTCCCCGTCTGAATGAATGTACATTTATCTTAATACTACAGACAGATACTTCAATTATATTTGTATTACACTCATAAATTTTAGTGGGGACTCATACACTTGATAGTTATTTGCTTTTGATAACACAGCAACTCTATATTCTGTGACACATTTTTACTGAGAATTTCGCAACATTTTGTTATATAATAATTACATGAATTTTATGCTGAATCTTGTAAAAACCGCTCGTTAGCATTAATAGTATTTTGCAAGCCATGTTTTAATATAATATTCTACAGTCTGTGAAGTTCTTAACTAAGTATATTCCTTGGTTTAAAGGCATCTGCCTAGTGACTATAATGGTTCTCACATATCTTAGTGTCATCATATTTCAATAATCATATGAAATTAGCTCCCTAATCTAATCAGGAAATGAAGGAACATAGCACATTCAGTTTCATATGTATTGTTTACATAATAATGTGATGAGCTTATCTTAATAGCTTTGTTCTAATAACATTTAAGATGATATTTAGTTAAAGATATTAATTCCAGTAAGCTTGAAGTTTGTTAAAAACATCATGATGATTTATGTAATGCTTGTTTCATGGTTTAAGAGAAATGCTAATGTGTGTGTTAATGTTATTGTCAGATGCACCTTTATAACTATAGTTTTTCGTTACCGAGCGATTGACTGATTGACTGACTGACACGACACACAGACAATACATAGCCTAACGATACTGGGCGTAGAAAACTGTTACACGTTCCTAAAGAGGTGTGGGAGTCTACTACAAAATCCCTCTTGCCTCCCGAAATAACCACGGGAACAGGAAAATCCTTATTTTCGCGCGTATGGAGTTGCGATCGTAAGCTAGTCTAATATAAAGTTGTCGCGGGGAACCTACGGGTTACCGGGGCACCGGCTCGACGTGCAGGAGAAGGAACGGGGTGGTTTTTAGTCAGTAGGAGTCTGACACTCCCTCCCGTCTCACCCAGGCGGGAGAAGTCATTCGATGATTTTTTCCCCATAAAAAAGTCTAATATGTAGATATAAAGTTGTGTAACAACAAATTTTCCTTAAATTCTATGGTTGTATAACCAAAGCAAGTTTCACCCCCTTACTCGGAAAGTTATTTAAGTTACTGAAAGAGTTTCACATTTTTAGGGATTTGAAAAACTGCCACAAAATCGGCGAAGGGGTGTACGGCGAAGTGTTTCTGTGGCGAGACAGAGATGGCCGAGCTCGCGTACTGAAGATCGTCCCTATTGCCGGCACGCTCAAGGTCAATGGAGAGAGTCAGAAGGACTTCCACGAGATCATATCTGAGATTGTGATTGCTATGTAAGTACACCTTTGAAGTTGTTTTGCTCTATATTATTAGTTCATTATGATCCTTTTCAGCTTGTTCTCGTCTTTAGCTGAAAATAAGGCTAAAGCCTTATTTTGGAATGGTAAACCATTCATAATATGCTACTCAACTCGATCTGCAGCTCTTCTCAACCAAGCCATGCCACTTAGTCGATATAATTAGTTCGTCAACTGTCTATAATATTGTAACTGAGTAGGTAATTGAAAAATCGTAAACAATAACACATTGTTTCGCGTTTGAAATTAGTTGACGCTTCTTCTGCGTCAACTAATTTCAAATGCAATTATTAATAATTAATTTAATATTCTTGACGATAAAATGCAACAAAGTTATATAAATTTCGTCTAAATTGCCGATAGTTGCTTGTTGATCACATTCATTAGCAGCTCTGTTATTAGGTCAATAGATTGATAAAATAATGAGCGTCTGTCTGTCGTATGAAAGAAATGATTTTATATATACTTTTGCCAAAGACGAAACAAAGTATTTAACTGTGAAAGTAATTTCAACCTTGTCTACTCTCGAAATTACATTATCAGTGCATTTTGGCACTAATTTTGAACAAATGTGACGTACTAGTCTTGTTCGCGTTACTTTTATTCAGGTTTTGGGCTCAATGTCAATGTAAAGAGGCAGACAATGAATATAATTTCACGTAATTCATTCACTACGTAGTTGCTTTATTCTCCGTTGGCGCCACTGACGTTTTATATCCTGACGGTCAAATTATTGACGCACTAATGATATTGGAAATATTGTTCTAGAAACTAAAGACTGTTTCAAAATACGTTTATCATATTGCCAAGTGCAAAACAAAATGTTGCAATACCGATTAATATGACACGATTTCACGGTACTTCCTCAGACCTGACCGTATGACTAAATATTAGCAGAAACCAAAGATTAAAATATTATCAACGACCAAATACAGTTTATCAAAGTCTGCTGACTATTTATGTAATCAATTGCTGTCATCATATAAATTAACGTCCTTGTATTTTTGCTAGCGAACCTACTTCCTAATTTAGATAATAATCGCTATATTTGTAAACTAATCAGACATTTTTCACGCGTATTGACTGATATCTATTCCAACTAATTTATCGTATTTCTTCCTACATTAATGTTCAATTTAATATCGCAGAACACATCGCTATTGTATTTAAACTAGGTCAATTTATCAGTATAATTACTGCTAATGTAAACTAATACTTAAACAGCTTGTTTGTTAATAAATAGACAAATATACTCAACAAATAGGTCGCTTGATTGAATTCTTTATACAGTCTCAAAACCTTATTTGAAGCTGTTTGACATACCGCCAAATTATATGCGAAAACAGACTCTATTTCTTAGTGAAAAGAAACACACTATAACACGTTCGCTTGCCAAATTAATACTATACAAATAACCTCATTATACATCGTATTCGCTGTTAATTCTTATGACCCAATTTTATTTAAATAATAAAACTTGTTTGCAAGCTATCTTTATGCCGCGATCTTACAAAGAAACAGGTCACTTCCGCAATGGCGATGACTTGGCAACACGTTTATATAACAATGATTTTAGCTCCATATCAACTGAATTTAATTGTTTTAATTACGTGATTATGTGCTTTGTTCTCGTTCTTGTTACCCAACTCTCTTTTGAACGTGTATTTAAGGGTCTTTGGAAGACTTTAACAAAGGTTTTGGTCTCGTAATATTTTAGCTAGAAGTGACATAATACTTTAGAAAGATTCTGTATTGTCTTAAACCATTTCTTTGAAGCTCATGACGCAAGACTTTCATAGCTCAGTTGCTGCTGGAAACGTTATAACATGAAACTTCGTGTATTCGGGAACATATCGTCACTTGAGCTAGTATAAATAGATATACTAGTAGTAGTAAATTCTGGAATGTTTCACTAAAAATGCACTGGTTGTAGTTCGCTTACGTTTTACTAACGAATATTTTCTTTTAACAGGGAATTGAGCGCACTACGCGCTCCCATAGCCGAAATTAATCGCCATTTTGATGACGGGAAGGACGTTGAGGCGCTGGACTTGCACTCTATAGAGAATGCCACTGATGTATTCAATGAGGTAAGTCAAATTTTCAATATAATTTCATTACAAGAACTTCAAGAAGATACTGGCAATAGGCAGATACTATTTATTATCTCTGTAGAAAACTAAAGTTTCAAATTATGAACACTCTGCCTTTGTTTTGTATTATTACTCCCGCGTAATTATGTATTAAACGAGGTAATTTGAATAATTTCGTTTGTTATGAATATGAGCTCCTAACGTGGCTGGAAACTAGTCGAGTTACTCGACAAACAGTTCACGAATAAACCGTTAAAAGATACGCAACCCTTTACGTACGAACTACGTTAGATACGATCATACGAATACACATAGGTTCTACATCTATGTATAGCGTAAGCTCTGAAGGTTTCCGCGATGCGGTGCAATCGATACTCCGGTATTTGATACAAGGTCACTGTGGGATTTTGTTCGTACCTTATATAATCCTTGAGTCTTCCTCATACCTAGAAACGTAAGTATACGAATCATATTCTTCGTAAAAATATTCGCTTCATGACTCATTCAAAGGATCTTAGATAGTTCTAATTTGTCATCACTTTAAATGAAAGTGCAAAGTATTGTAGGTTCATAAGTGCAAGTTGATGACGTAAGGTGAGCGAAAAATGATACCGTAGACAATGGGTAGTTGCGTAATGTTAGCGATTGTCCATAGACGGGTGTATCGAGCGGACTGATGACGCGGGCGTGCGGTTAGCAACACACATGCATTTGATACCTTTTGTGAGATAAATTGAACTAGAAGCGTCCCGTCACTTTGTTCGCGTTTGAAAATTGTTTTAAGTTGCAAATTAGATGTGTAAGGTACCCGGGGGTAAGATTAAATAGCGGTAGGCTTACTCTAAATAGCATATGGAATACATTTTATTATATCTACGTAATTTTCCAGGGTTAAAAATTTTAAACTAAATTACATAACATGACGTCACGGCTTTTATTCCCGAAGGGAGGCAGAGGTGCACATTACGGCACTTAATACCACTGTACCATGTAACACCCACTTTTCACTATTTTATGTTATGAGTCCTATGTAATACGGGGCGAACCTATTCCGGGCACCGTTCGAGATTCCGTGCTACCACTGAGAATCGAACCCAAGACCCGTTCCTCGGCAGTCGGACTTGCGACCACTCGGCCAACGAGGCAGTCAAACTATAAATTAACTGTAAATAAACTGTGACAAACACCCAAATCTGTTCAGCCATTATGAAGTAAAAAAACATCTACATTAACTTTCACATTTTTGATGTTATATAAAGTAGTTTCATATCATTAGCTAGCACATAGTACATTCAAAACATACTAATTCAGAACCCATACATAGTGATATCCAAACAAAAGCAACATATTCGCAAACAAATTAAGGTCACACAAATATTTACGTCAATAAGAATTCTCTCGGCGACGCCAGACGTAGTGTTTACGTGAAACGGGTCAATTCTCAACCAAACACCTCCATTAACATTAATTTTCCTTATAACTCGAAATTACGTAGGAACTTACTATTATTCGTCTTGTATCGTAAGATGCGAACTGAGAAGAGACCTAACATTAATTGAGAGGGTTGTTAACGACCGAAATCCACAGATTCTATATTTCTTCATAATAACATCAGATTCATCATCTGAGATCAGGGGGCTTACTCTTGAATCCAAATCCGATCGATCGAAATTGGTATTATGCAATTTCGTATTCTTGAGGTGCGACACTAGCGCCTATTGCATCCGTATTGCGTGGATATTTAATGAACTAAATGGTATAGAGTTTGGCTTTATATTCCGTTCTCTGAATGCTATTTTAGCAGCTTCGATTGTAGTTGTATAGTGTTGATATTGAATAATTATTGAGATTTTATTGAATTGAAATTGCATTGACATTGCAATTTCAAGAGTACTTAAGCACCCAACTCAATCCAATCTGTGGATTTTTGATAGATACCACCATACATCGAACATTTAACTGAGACAGGGCAGGAGTCTTCTCTAATAAACCTGACATTTTGAACGGCTAACGTGAATGGCAAACTCCTTCTTATGTAGAGACACAGACAGTGTACTGTCCCGGTCTCTTGATGTTATATAGTTCATTATAGACTGTTTTACTGAAGGTGAAATGAATATCATATACCTAGAACAAGTACTATGTAAAGTACACAAGGTCCACGTGTGAGATATATTATGATACGACGCAGTACCTAATCGTGATTGAGATAGTTGTAGTAATGGGTAAAACGCACTAATTGAACTATCATATCTCATTGTTTGACGTGTAACGTTGATATTATAATGACTTATTCTCAATCTTCATAATTTCTTAGAAATATGTGCATAGATGTTACAGGAAAATGTTGACTAACTATGTAGTCGTGGACTGCCAAGAATTTGTTATTATAGTTTCAAATTTTCCTTTAGATTCAGTGTTGTTTGTTCTGAAATATTGTTTTAAACACTGCTGGTGTTACCATTGCTAGTCTAATATAGTATGTATGAATTTCTTAAGTCTGTTGGCAAAACAACAGTTTTTTGGCATTGATAGATCTTTTAAGTTTGTATTCAACAACGAAAGGATCTCTAAATCACAACATCTAAATAAATCACTGTCTTGATATCTTTTACGTAACAAAAGGAAGAATAAAATCCGAACAGGTTTGTTTATTGAATTCTCTATGGGCTCGGGTCGTACCTGTATGTGGGAGTAACTTGTTAAAAGGTCCATGAATCCTCTTTTACATAATAGATAGTTATTTCTACCTGCCTTTGACGTCACTTGTCCCTTTCATATAATTATGTTACGAATTGTAAAGGAGGTTTTATCCACCGTATTCTCTATCTAACCAGTTTCTTTTAAGTACCTATGATAAATTGTGTAAAGTCAACAGAGTAAAACTGATTATTTAATCTATCATCACGTTTGTGGGCGATAAGCATAGAAACTCGGCGTCTGTACATGCAACGTTTATACTTGATATGCAGTTACTATAACATGTTGGGAAATATCTTTCTCAGCACATAAATAACCGACCTCAGCTCAACTATAAAGTTTTATCGGCAAAATATTAATTGACATAATGTTCACTCGTCATCAACGTATTTAGCATAATATAAAACCAATGGCCATACGAAATGAGGTCATTACAACGCGTCACGAACCGCTTCTAGGAATATGAATCACCGTATCCGCGGCACTACAAAACGTGAGCGTAAAATTTTACTTTCGAAACTCACGTGAATCATTGTATTGACGAAAATGAACAATGTTTGTTTGTTTGATACAATAACTAGGCCGCACTGTTATCGGAACAAGACGCCCCTATCTCCACAGCTGGCGCATAATTTAAGTTTGTTAAGCCAATCGTAAATTATGATTATAAACGGACGCAATTTATTTCTTTCTTCCACAATTACTCATTGTTGTCGCTTCATTCATTATGTTTGCGGTAGGTAATTCTTTGTCGGGTGTTTTATCATATCTTTGTTCGAATGCAACTGCAATGTCTCAGCCTTATCTCTTGAGACTGATTAGCGATTCCTGCTGTTCAAATTAAAAGTCGTTTGTACTATGTAATAATCTTTTGCAGTATTTTACAAAGCTCTGAACATACCACGTTTTGTTTGCGCAGCCATTGTGCGATAGTGGCGACCTTATGTCTCTTGTATCATGATGTAAATAAGATTTGTGCGTCTTAATACTTGTACATATAAACATGAATTGCAATAGTAGAAGTATATTGCGTTAGAAACTCGATTGAACGAAGGAAACTTCGTTTTCCTGTTAGAGAAGAATTAAGGAGGAAAACTTTATGGCTAAAAATAATCAACAACATCACATGGTAACAAAATTTTAACTCAACCTTTCCCTATTTATACGGAGAACACACGTTGCAAAGTTGACATTTTAACTAAGGCAGGATATCTATTTTAAAATTCCGCTAAGCAACAGGTTGCAAGCTCGTGAGATGGCACATGGCACTTCCTTTCTCTAAACGCGATAAAACAACAATTGAGCGCAGCTGCTGCACATTCTTTATTGTAAGTTGTTTTATTGGCAAGCCGCAAGCTCCCGCCGGCTGGCTTACATCTCTGTTACGACAGGTTTTCAATTGTACTCTAAATATCTTATGTAGGCATGTACACTATATGATGGGAAACTTAACCTAACCCGAATTTTGCCTCTATCGCTGAACGGAATATTAATGTTATGTATTTTTCGTTTCGTCTTGGAACAAGAGCAAAAGCCCGGATTTCAATTTATGTTTGGCTAAATATAGAACTTCCTTCTACTGTTTGGTATACATTTGGCGCTTGTTAATCTGGGACCACCCAGAAATCTATAGGTACTCTATACTCATATTGTTTGTTTGGACGCGCTTATCTCGGAAACTACTGGTCCAAATTGTATAATTATTTTTGTGCTGAATAGTCAATTTATCGAGGAAGGTTATAAAACATCATGCTATGACCAAAAGGAACCGACCAGCGGCTAAAATCACGCGGAATATTGGAATAAAATGGAGTGACCAAACTGTTTTTTTTTGTTGTTATAGGTTCTTGCTGTGAGATGCGTATACGGCAGCTACCCAGCTCGCTTGCTTGATTTGTGGGATCTATATGACGAGTGCAAAGGCTCTGAGAACGACAACCCTGCTATACTGCCGGTAGACCAGCAGTTCATTGTGCTGGAACTAGCTAACGCAGGTCAAGATTTAGAGAGCTACCAGTTCAACAACGCTGAACAGGCTTATGCCTTGTTCCTTCAGGTATGTTTAAAAAATATCAACCTTTTTTTTGATAAACATGGCATGGTTTTTTATAATTTTGATGTTGTGTATGTATGTATTTTTAATCAACGTTTTTTTTTTCTAAACAGTATGTGAATTTGTTTTTTGTCACGTTTTTTGATTACCCAACGAATTGAGTGCAATTTTTTTGTTAACATTTTACTTTCATGAAATGATTGATGTTATGAATAGAAAGTTACAAATTGCTGTATTTATTTCGTTATTAGTGACGACTGATTTTGATTGCAGTCACGAAAAATAGAGTGTAATTATGTGAACTGCAATCATATTTATGTTTAATGGCTTTTTTTAAAAGGTCCATACATTTTGTTGTTGAATCTAACCTTATTTGTTCAGGACTCTTTAATGGCATGATGACCATAGACTTTTATAGAAGAAACCATAGATGTTTGTGTTTGAAATTTTGTGTTTTTCTCGTGTTTTTTTTTTCAGTGGCTCTCACCCTGCATGCAAGCAGCCTCCACGGAAGATAAGCGATATTCTAGTATCAAGTTGATTACGTATCTTGACTAGATTATCACTTATCCTCTGAGGTCGCTTTCGCGCGCTTTACATGTGTTACCAGTGTGTGGATTTTATTTAACTATTTTTTTTTATTTAGCATGTTTTTGTGACATTTATGTTGTTGTATGATTGTATGTAGATAATGAGTTTTTGTTACGAAGTGTTTATCGTTAGTAAAGACCTATTTTATTACCTCGCTGTAGCAAGTCTACCAAAACTTTATGCTTTGTTTGAGAGATTATCGAAGATTTCTAGCCTGATATTTGATTACACTTTGATTTGAGTAATAAAAAACCCCTTTTCATTTTTAAAGGAACCAAAATTATTGTCAGGTTTATGAAATAAGTCTTTATTAACTTTTTAAATAATTTTGTGATTATTTCTTTTTTATTTTTATAGTTTTGTTCTGTGTTATGAATGAATGTTAAAAAATAGCTTTTTAACGTAAACTATGTGTCGGCAGGTTGCGTATGGTCTGGCGGTTGCAGAGGAGGCCTTTCAGTTTGAGCACAGAGATTTGCACTGGGGTAACGTGCTGATTGCTCCCACAGAACAAAAGGTATGTCACTCTTGATTTTTAAACCTAGTAGTATCTTTTTACCCAGTAAATTGTGGTTTTCATATTCATAGGATAGTGCCGAGTACCAAATTACGACCAATATGACAAAATACTGACATTAGGCGAATGCTAATTGGTAAGCACACCGATCTAAGAGAAATGGCCATAAGATCAGGTGGTCTCATCAGTTATTTCTCTTCTACCAAACTTCTTATCGATTAAATAACTTTCAAAACTGCAATAGCAATAGACTCACCCCCTATTACATGGGACTCATACCATAAATAGTGAAAAGTGGGTGTTACTTCTGTGTGCACCTCTGCCTATCCTTTCGTGGATAAAAGGCGTGATGTTATGTTACCTTTTAGAACTCCTACAGCTAAAATCAACAACGTTTACATTGAACCAACAGTAAATAGCCAGATAACTCGTACTGTCCATTACCCATAATCGCGATGGCGCTCAGTGTACCATGTCGTTCAGTTATCAACGCCATTCTATTGCCAAGCCCACCGCGATGTCGCCTGATCAATTCACTTAAATGCTATCTTGGTATCTCTTAAATGATGCTGATAAGTGCACAAAGAAATCGCTGTCCGTGTCGACATGCACTGTCCAGTTTTCTTGTAGAAATAACAGTTTATAATTATGTGAGTTTAATAAGCCAGTGTACACAGTATTTAAGTTATTGTGCTAATTATATAACATCACGCCTTTTATCCCTGAAGGGGTAGGCAGAGGTGTACATTATGCCACTGTACAATGTAAAACCCACTTTTCACGATTTATGTTATGAGTCCCATGTAATAGGGAGTGAGTTAGTTGTGCTAATAATAAATAATGCCTAAACGTGGATCTACGCGAGACGCAATGTATTTTCTATTGTATCTCATATACAGGCATACAAGCGGTTAAATCCCAATTAAAGCCACCGAGGATCTTGTCTAATAACAGAGGGCTCAGTATAAAAGCCTCTGCTCTGATTGGCCTACTCCAATGAACTAGCCAATCAGAGCGCCGAACGCGGTCTCGTGTCGATTACTTTGAACGTAAAATAAATTCGTACTAAACCCTCGGAAACTGTTCCCAAGTATTAATTTTTGTTTTTAATAAATTATTATACGAACGAAGTATAACTTTATTTGGTGTAGTAATTCGCAAAGCATAACCAAAAGGAAATATGCAATAATAAATATTTATATTATAGATACTTAATGATTCAACAAATTACTGTTTCACACACTCGCTTGACGTCAATAATAATCATAAATTAGCACAATAAAAAACTTAAATCTTACCGTTCATTATTGCATTCGCATAAAACAGGTTTGCATTACTAGTTTTAACGCTAACAATTGCATAAAATTGGCTTATTGTATAACAGTGTATTATACTTACAGTCAACCAAGTTATTTGGTATAAAAGTAAAAAAATAGAGTACAGAGACAATAACCTTTGGCTGCCTATGCTAGTAGACCAAATCCAAAATATTTGGTTTCATTAAAAAGCATACTATTTTGTATTAAACTGTCAAACACCGCGCGGTCACCGGTGACCGCAACCTATTGTTCTATAATTGTGTCTACAAAACCGGTACTCGACGAGTTAAACTATGATCTCCGAGCCAAGAGTAAAGATTATCCCGAGTGTATGGCGCGTCGTGTTCCACGCGCACCTCAAAGAGCCATCAGACCAGCACAGATGAGCCCAATAGGTCTGATGCCGATACGGAGCCGCGGGACTTAATGGGTTGCCGGGGCTCCGGCTCGAAGTACAAGAGTAGGAACGGGGTGGTTTTTAGTCAGTAAGAGTCCGACACTCCTTTTCCCCTCACCGGGGCAGGAGAAGTCATTGGATGATTTTCCCCCCTCCAAAAAAAAGGGTGATGATGAAGAAAGAGAAGGCCCCCCTAGTCCAACTGAGGACTCTCGTGGCTTGTTAATAATGAGTCACCAGTGTGACTACATACATACTTTGCTCTCCATACCCAAGAGCTAATTTATAAATTAACCTTGGCAGAAGACGAGAAGGTGGTTGACATTTCGAACAGGCGTCTCGTCTACTCAAGTCAGTGTAATGCTAACGCACCCAGACTGACGGGTCATCAACCTCCCCTCTGATAGTCTCCGCGAAATTTCTTATCTTTAACATTACATTTATGTGAATCTTGAAATCAGTTTTTTAAATATTTGATTACTGAGTATAATGAAATTATTATATCAAATGTAATAGTAATACCATGTTGGTAAAAATTATACAGAAAAACAAACCAAAGTAAGAAAATTAATTATAACATTCATCCACTAATAGATAAATTTCATTACTTTGAAAATAAATTAGATTCACAAAGTACCTTTTTAAAATTTCTGACGTAAATAGAAAATAATATATTTCCAAACTTACCTTGGCGACATTACAATATTAAAATCAATTAATTCAAATCAAATCTTAAACATTATAGATTTTATCATTTGCAGGGACTTTTTCATATCATTCAATTATGATCAAAACAATATGAGAAATTGTTTATACTTCGGTAATTATTATTTAAATGCATTGATAATGATAATAGTAACGTTTGATAACCTTGTTTTAAAACCTTCTAGATGGAAAAGTCAATTGTTGATTGTGTAAAATGCATTTTCAGCCAATATAATGAATAATATGAAATACGTGAGCATGCATCATTTCATAAGGTATTTAAACTTATATCACAATGGTCTTAAAAACCAATTAAACGATTGTAAACAACTAGAATTCTTCTGTATCAAAGATATTCATCGTTCTAGTAAACAAAAATCAAATAGTTTAGCTTGGTTAGATCAGAAGTCACCTAGAATCGACCTTTGGAAGTTGACGGACAGTTTAAAAGGCGCAGGTTCAAGTTTTGACCTCCAGCGCGAGGTCGAAGCACTGTATCGAAGTTTGGGGGTCACTGGGAACAGATAGAAAACGTACAAGTAGGAAGTAAGTGTGGCAGAAGTCTTGATTAAATAGCTATTTAATTACAATTTTTTTTTTTTTTTTTTATGGCATAAGCCGGTAAACGAGCAGACGGATCACCTGATGGAAAGCAATCGGCGTCGCCCATGGACACCTGGAACACCAGAGGCGTTACAAGTGCGTTACCGGCTATTTGTGGATTAGGAGTTTGAGGATTGTTGGGGATTCAGGGATTGGGGAGATTGGGGAAGGGGAGGGAAATTGGGCCTCCGGTAACCTCACTCACGCGACGAAACACAATGCAAGCGTTGCTTCACGTCGGTTTTCTGTGAGGCCGTGGTATCACTCCGGTCGAGCCGGCCCATTCGTGCCGAAGCATGGCTCTCCCACACTTACCGTCACACTTTATTTAATAGAAATATTTTTGGAATTTGTGCGCTCTGTAGGCGGTTATGCTGAAATTTAGACAATAGTGTGTAAGGAATGTCAGGGTTTTGTCAATTCCGTGTTTTATGAAGTCAGGAAAATTTTATTGTTTAAATATGATTGAAATTCTTTACATAATCACTACTCTTCTATTTATGAAAGTGATATTGTTTGGTGGATTTTCATCATCTTATTGATAATTTGTATTTGTTTTGTATTTGTTACACGATATGTCACATTGGATTATGTAACGAATTACAAATATTTATTATTGAATTGGTAAAATTGATAAGCTATTGTTTTGATTTAAAAGTTCGATAAAAAATAAAATTTTAATAACGATGTAAATCTAATCTAAAATGAAGGAATTAGAGTAGTTTGACCTACAGATCCTGGAAGGGGAGAATGGGAAAAGACACATTCTTCTGTCCCTAGTAGATTGAGATATATAGGCAGTATTAATGTTATTAATAATAACTTTTGTCATCAGTACGCAACGTTTGTGCTGCGCGGTCGGTCGCACCGGGTGGCGCGGTGCGGGGTGGCGGCGACCATCATCGACTACTCTCTGTCGCGCGTGTCCCTGCCACTGGCGGCCGGCGACTGTGCGGCGCTGTACAACGACCTCGCCACCGACGAGTCACTCTTCGAGGCCGTCGGGGACTACCAGTTCGAGGTGTACCGCCTCATGAGAGAGAAGTTGGGGTAAGCACCTATTAGTCTTTTTTATCGAGTAGGGCGGCAAATGAGCAGATGGATCACCTAATGGCAAGCAATATTCGCCTATCGATACTCGCAACACCGGCAGATTTCCAAATGCGGTGTTAGGGATTTGAGCATTGGCGCTCCGGTAACCTCATTTACGCCAGTTTCTAAAACATTTTACTTTCACATGTATTCTTGGAAGTCATAGGTTGAGCTCTGTCTCTGACTCGGAAATAAATAACCAATTATTTTTGCTTCATAAGCCCACTTCTCTTTTGTATGACAACAATAACAAATTGTATTGTTATTCCTTGAACCATCCTCGTTCGTGTTAGCCTTTGATTTAACATTAAATTGAAAAGGACATTGATATAAACAGCATGCTATTCTGTTATCCTGCCAAAGGTCGCGTGTTAATACGTGGGGAAGGCCCCCGCCACTCGTTTATTTGCGGACTTCCTCGATTTTCCTCCCGCAAGACGTAGCTCGAACTCTATGAATAAAACAAACTCTGCTGAATAAATTGTTTGATACGTCACACTATGACGCATGATTTGTAAACTAGAAGTATATCAGTATTCTCGTATGATGATGTTTGAAGTATTTCTTTGCTCAGTGTAAATATTTGCCAATGTCGCTAATGTAAATTAATTGCTTTCAGTATTAATATATTATAGGGATTATTTTATATTTATATAAATAAATGATGAAATAAATCTGCGTCTATAAAATTTTTTGTAGAAGCGCAATGGAATTATTATTGTGGAATATTACCATTGATATATGAAATAATATTCGTAGGAAGGCCGGTATTCTTCAGCTCATTTTATTTCCGAGGCCGTGCGAAATAGCAGTAGTTGTTGTTTAAAAATTAGCTACGTATATTTTACTGTACGCCCGTTTTTCAGTCGGTACGTAGGTATTATGGACTGCCGAGCGACTGGCTTGTATATCAGTGTATAGAAGTAGGCTCACTTTTATTATATATTCATAATTGAACTGGAGAAAATTTAACAAAGACACAAAGACTTCTGTATTTCAATGACTGGCATTTTGCCAAAAGGAAATGATCTTGAGAGAATTGAGATAGTGAATTTTAAAGGGTGCAATAAACTAATGATTGTTTTTGTTTCGTTCACAGAAATGATTGGAAGAACTTCGCGCCGTACACAAACATCCTGTGGCTGCATTACACTGTGGATAAAATGATAACGGCCCTCCGCTACAAGAGGACAAACACGAAGATTCACAAGCACTACATTGACAAACTGAAGGGAATCCAGAGCAGAATACTAGACTACGGTAGCGCGGCTTTATTTGTGCTAACTGACAACGAAATATAAAAACGAACAAATTATGATAATATACAAAACATTTCATATGTAAATTAATACAAACTAGTCTTAACAATGGATTTAATAAACTGCTGTTGCTATAAATCTGACATAACAATGAATAACATAAATTATTATAATGTAAATAATATTTGCTTTGATAAATTGTTTGAAACGATAGACGCTAAAAGAGTTATTTACGATGTTGTCGCATTATTAGAACACTTACAGATAGAGGGTGCCTTTTTAAATAAGGTAGTGCCTTTGTTCACATTAATAAATTCATATATTGTGTTCCGAAATATTTGTTTTATTCAACCCTAACTTAACATTTTATCCACAATAGCACTCATCGTGCGGAACTTGAACCCGCCAAATTACACTTTGAACTCCTTATTGAACCCACACTGTGAACCTTGTATGTCCTTATAATTGTCTCAAACCCACACATTAAACCACCTGGGGCGGGGAATTCGAAAACACTGCTCGTTGACCAAGTGGTCACGAGTGCGACTGCCGAGCAAGGGGTCTCTGGTTCGATTCCTGGGTCGGGATAAAGTATTAATGGGTTTTTAAAAAATCTCTTGTAGCACGAAGTCTGGAATGGGGTAGACGACTAATTTTTATTTTAATGTCCGTCTGGTAGATTATTTAAAAACATTAGACACGTATTTTTTATTTTCTTACGGAAACGAATAGTTTCGAAGATATATTGATTTGAAATGTCGCGTGATGTCACTTCTCAGTACATTTTATACTAAGAAATGACGTTTTAGCCCCCACTCCTAAACTTTGATTCGTTTTATCTAAGTATTGTTTTATTATACAACAAAATAAAAAAATACGTGTCTAATATTTTTTTATTACCTAAGTTACGGACTAATTATATTTTTAATTTTCATACCCTGTCATCATCCCCATTGTGCCTGGTATATGGCAATAGGCTCACTCCCTATTATATCGGGCTCATAACATAAATAGTGAATAGTGGGTGTTACATTGTACAAAAAACACCTTGTGTAGGACTGAAATCCACCACATTTTGCAACCACACCTTGGATGCTATGCAGCGCAGCTCGTCAGCCCTTTTTGCTACCGACACGCCTTGCCACTTCCACTATTAACTGTCTATTGACTCACTGTTCAAGTAAAGATTAACATAAAAATACATAGCAATTATTAATAACACTTAATAACAAATCGCTTTCCATTCTTCGAAGGGATGAGTTGTGATGAGAAGAGAATTAAAGTAAAAAAAACAGTAGAAGTCTGGTACAAAATATTAATCGCATTAAAATTTTCGAATGCCTCTTATGAACAATACATACGATTGATTTTATACGAAGTATTATTCTTGGTTTTGTTAAATTAAATTATTTTTCTAAATAATGTGGCGTGTTTCTAAACGTAAGATATTCATTCAAAAAAATTGATAGTGTCAACGATTCCGAACGAATATCTTATCTGTCAAGTTGTCAATTGCGGATTGTAGTCAATCGTTATCAGTTTTCCATTTCTTTTGCCAAAAATCTTCAGAAATGTTTGTAAAATAGCATCAATCTTACCAGACAGCCAATTAGTACAAATATATATAGGTGCAATTTTCATGCTTCAAGTCATTTATACCTAATTCGACAATTTTATGTGTGCAAACAAAAGTCAGTAGTAATTCATTCAAACCATATTTTTCATGGAGTTTTCTTCAAGCTGGTGGTAAACAGACTAAATGAAAAGTGTATTTAGTGTAAAAATGGAGGCTAGCAATGATTCTTTGTCTGGTAGGTTGCGTACAGTTGATGAAAATAGTTATGTAAAGTTGGTGTATTAAAATCGCGTGTGTTGATGTAATTCAGTGTTGTCTCCGCCGATGACGGGGTCTCCTGCTGTGCTGCTTACTCCTGGCCGGACAAGGAACATCGCACAGGACATGGAAGCCCTCAGACTGTCGCGACAAGACAATCCTTACCTCCAGGTGAGACTTATATAATTTAAAAAAAACTATTACGTTTCATTGCGGAAATAATTGTAATGAGATGCGTTTTCCGCGTAGATTATGTGTAAACTTTGTTTTTAAGGTATAAGAAACAATTTAGTATTCAATATTTTTTACTAATGTGCTTCATGTTTTACAATTTTAATAGAAATTATCATAAAACATTAATACTGGACTGTCGTGGTGGCCCGGAGGTTTAAGACGCCCACTTCTCATGCATGAGGGTGCGGGTTCGAAACCTACCAACGGCAAGTACCAATGTGACTTTTTCCAAGTTACATGTACTTTCTAAGATTATTTAGACACCACTGACAAACGGTGAAGGAAAAACATCGTGAGGAAACCTGGACTTATAATTTCTAATTATAAGTTTGAAATCGCCAACCCGCATTGAGCAAGCGTGGTGATTAACGCTCTAACCTTCTCCGTGTGAGAAGAGGCTTTGCTCAGCAGTGGGCATTTATAGGCTGTTGATGATGATGATGACTGGACTGTAATGTTACAAGTTGTTGTGTAAGATCTACAGGAATTTCTAGTTTTAAATAAATTGTTTACATAATGTTATAGTACAAAATTGTATATCTGTTGTAGATCTAAAAGATGTTGGTTATTCCTTTGTAAGAAAGAAATTCTTTTTTTTTATTTGAATTGTTTTATACTTCCAGCAGGTAATGGCCAGCAGAGAAAGTCTCATTGAAAGCCACCATGAAGAGTGTGAATCGGATGACACTATACTTATGTCACAGGTAAATAAATTTTATTCATAAAAACCTTTTTTTATTATTAAGGTTCCATAGACCAGAGTCAGTCAGTGTCACAATTTTTTTTCTAAGTCTACATTTAATATGCATTCTACATTATCTGTGTCTGAGTGATTTTCGCTTGTGGCTCCCCCTGTTTATTGTTAGAATAAAAAGTAGCCTATACCAACCATGTCAGCAATTGAAAATTAAATTATAACAAGTAAATATTGGATTTTATAATAGTATTTTTGCTTATCTGAGGCTAGAACATTATGATTATTTTATGTTTTGGTTTAAGGGTTCGTTTCATAACAATTGTTTAATTGTAAAAATGAATATTTTTTTTTGTAAAAAAGCTTATTGACACTAATTGTCTTATAATGTTATCACAATTGAAACATATGATGATAATACACATACACGGGTAGATAAAGCTTTAAATATTTAAAAAATTCAATAACAATTCATTAATTATCAAATCTTTTTAATTTAATGATTTTAATCTAAATAAATGCATACTAAGTTGAATCATTCAATGTTTATGTGTGTGTATGTGTGTGTGTGATTCTGTACATTACATATTGTCTGATATCAGCTAATTTAGGATTACAAGATGTACTAATAAAAAATTTACATATATTCTAATCTTATGATCAAATTAGTTCAACTAGAAAAATCACGGCAACTTCCGGTATATTAAAAAAAAAAAACAAAAATCAAAACCAAAGACGGCTTGCTAGGCAGTCGCGGTCTCTAGTAAGTGGTAGTTGATGAGATATGTGTGTAAGCAACATATTTTCCTTTCTTTTTTAAAACAATGCCCCCCACTAGTATGTTCTCCTGTGCCGTGAGTGCATTTACAAACATACAATGTAACATACACATTACACTTAGACCCGAAACAACAATTTGTGGATCACACAAAGAGTTGCTCCGGAAATCGAACCCGCTACACGTTTAGCGGTAGCCGGTTGCCCAGCCACCGCACCAACCGTGCAATTATTACAGAAAAATATAGCTCATCTAGATTAGAAGCACCATTATGACAGTTTACGCCATTTTTACTGTTGCCGCGAACTTGAACGTGATTCTAATTGGCTTGTCGAGATTACAGTGGACATGTCGCATAATCTGCTTTGTATTGAACTTTTGGTTGTCCTGTCTGCCTTAATTAACTTAGACATTATAATCTTTGTTTCCTTCCAATAATGTTATTATAATGTTTTTTTTACGTATCGTCATTGTAATGTATATAGATTTAAAAAAGAAACTTTCTCAGTAAAAAAAGAATAACACAGTGTAAGAAGGTATAGGAACTAAGTATGTAAAAAACATCAATTTTGACAGACAGTGCCTACAAATTACCCTTCGATTCTCTTCGCTCTATTACTTTTTTATAATTCTTTTTCTCATTACAGGAATTTGGAAGCACTGCCTTAGATTTTATAGAAGACGATCCTTTAACCCTGAAGGAGGTCCACGAACATATGATAAGGTCACCACCGCCAACTAGTTGCTGGCCGCACGGTAACAAACCTCTTTTACGAAATAAAAAAAGTAAAATTAACGAGTCTATGGAAAAGTTTGCCGCCTTTTTACATAAATTGAAAAAGTATATTGTACTAACTTTTTATAAAAACAACATGTGTAGGGGCTCTCATTAAAATAATATTTAATTGTTTGTTCTGCTTTTATTAAATAATATAATAATTTAGTTTAATTAATTCTATTAGTAATATTTTTTACTATGCTGTTTATTTCAAAAATAAACGTTAAAAAATGTAATCAACTTTCTTTTAAGTAGAAATAGTAATGTTATAGTTTTGTCAAAAAAATAGGTAGAATAGGTAATAGTATCTACCTATTTTTTGCTAATTATAATTTTAGAAAGCAATGAAATAAAATACTTTCTTGGTAAAACCAAGTCTAAATTCACTCACTAATGACTTGCATTGATTTTAAATCACCGATTTCCGTAAAGATTATGAAGTAGGTCAAGGTGAATGACCGATTACCTACATTTGATTAGCGTCGTGTATCATGATAAAACGATATCCAATGAACATAAGATAGCTAATCATTGTTTAACTTCAGTCTGAAATATGTAGGCTACAAATAAATGCTCCAATTTTTTTGCGTCTTAATATTTTTTCATGTAATGTGAAAAAAAATGGATTTGACGAATTTTGGTGTAGTTTAATATACTGCTAACTATAATTGGGATGATGACAGGGTATGAAAATTAAAAATCGAATTAGTCCGTCAGTTAGGTAATGAAAAAATATTAGACACGACTATTTTTTTATTTGGTCATATAATAAAACAATACTTAGATAAAACGAATCAAAGTTTAAGAGCAAAAACGTCATTTCTATGTATAAAATGTGCATAGAAGTGACGTCACGCGACATTTCAAATCAATATAATATCGTCGAAACTATTCGTTTCTATAGGAAAATAAAAAATACATGTCTAATGATTTAAAATAATCTACCAGACGGACATTAAAATAAAAAAAATTAGGCATCTATCCTATTGCCAAGATGAATATGTATTCATAACATTAGCATAGTTTTATAATTATTGAAACTCATGTTATGTAGTTTTAGTGAAAATTTCTCTTTCATGGTGGTATTTCATTGAAGGAAAAATCCTGATTCTGATTGTTAAACATTTATAGAACTTCAAATATTTATTTTGGTACTTTTAAGTGAGAGTTGTATACCTAACATATTATATTATGAAAGAAATAACCGTAGGTACTTATGTATAATATTCTGACGATTGCTTTTCAGTATAATCACCCTTTTAATAATAACTATACCTAATAATAAGCTAGCTAATACCAATAACATAGGATCCCGCTTATACTAATGCTAATTTTCGATAATATTTTTACAATTTCCCGCCCTCCGTGAAGATACACTGTCGTATCGTGCGTCGAGCGCTTTCGACTTTGCTGCGGACAGTCCTGTCTCTTACAGCGCTTACTCAGTCAATTCCCAGGAAAAGGTTACTAACATTAACTATTTAAGCGTGCCGTCCTTTATGTTCGTGTGTCACCACTGTTTGCTTTTGTGCACTTTTTTATATTTATAGATTTTTAGTTGACGCCATATTGGTTTTGATTGTAGAATTAATATTAATTTACAATAAATAATAATCAAAGTCTTTTTATCCAATCAGTGTATTTGTTATTTTTTTAATATATGTATACAGATGGTATTTTTTTTGTCTGTAAATAGTTTTTGTATAAGCATGCAAAAAGGTTGATATTTACATGAAATTTATTAATGTATGCATGTTACAGGAACTGCTAGGCGGTAGGTCTCCACGTCGTAACACAAGATGTGACGAATCCCGGAATAATAATAATTCGAGTCGACCTCGGTCCTCCAGATCGGCCTCTCCAAGGTCACATGACCTCACCCTCTGTGGACGACCTCTATCGTTACCAGGTAATGCAAACTAATCTTGTGTAGTTCTCACTAATTAACGCATTGTATGCCGTGTCGGGCAGTGATACTGATGAAGTGATGACCGACGCTAGTGGAGGGTTAGCCTTTAACAGATTATTTCGGCAGTTAAAGGCTTTAAAAATATTGACTGGGGCCTTTCCTATATAAGAGATGCTTAGCTTGTTGAACGAGTTGAATATCGCAATTTAAATGGTTCAGGTTTATCAGAAAATGCACTGTATTTTTTATATAGCATAAGCCGGTGCCGCCCATGGACACTCGAAACACCAAGGCGTTACAAATGCGTTACCGGCCTTTTGAGAATTGGGAATTTGAGAATTGTGGAGGATTCGGGGATTCGAAATTTCTTTAATTCGAAACACAACGCAAGCGTTGTTTCACGTCGGTTTTCTGTGAGCCGTCCCATTCGTGCCGAAGCATGGCTCTCCTACACTTGATCTTTTTTTGTTTGTGCCAGAAAAGGTTTTATCGATGTCGATCGATGTCTACCGATGTCAATTTTCGCTTTTTCACAATTGTTACTTAACTGCTCAATTCCCAAGCAGCTCTCTACCGGTGACCGCTCTCTACTAACTCCATTATAGATCTTATTTCCGATGCTTACAGACTACTTTTGTATGAACAAATTTTGAGGATTTTCGGTACGATATATCAACGTGAACTTTAAAATTTTAATTTTCTTTTTGAAGTTAGCCAACAAAATAGTTTGGACCTAAAAGAGATTCCTCGTGTTGTTATACATAAAGGTATGTTCTTTTTTACGGTGTATTGTGTAACTAGCAGTGTTACTGTAGGCTATATTATTTTTTTATGGGTTATTTTTAAATAAATCAAACTAAACCATAATTTGATACTTTTGAAACGTCAACAAATACAAAATTAATAATAGTCTGTCAGTCAGTCTGTCAATGAAGCTAGGTAAAGCTAGGTGCTCATTCCAAAATGTAGATTCGAATTCGATTGTATCTTGCTAATTTAATAGGCTAGACAGAAGTATAATCTCGAATTTTATTTATTATATCTCTAGATTAAGATAAGAACATCTCCAAAGTATTAGACTATGTTTATGGACAGCGCATACCCTTCCTCAAAGACTATAAAATACCAAAAAAGATCAAAGTCAACCACCACTTAACACACAAAAACGTACCTTATTAACAAGCTCTTTGGTTTCAATTTCCAGGCGAGAGTCACCTTCGGAATGCGCTAAGCAAAAAGCAAGGCAGCAATCAAAGCGAGAGGTTTTCCCTTCTGCAACACCCACGCCCTCTACGGAGACCTCACAATCGACGAGACGAGGACAGTGTCCAACTTGTACCAGACTGCGATAAGTAATACAATGCATATATAAAGATATATAATCTGTTCTAACAGAATATATGGATATATCGGTGATATAGATCTTATTCTGGAAAAGTCAAATAACCAAAGGGTTTTATTTATGACCTTGACCTTTGAATTGAAGGTCAGATTATTTCGAGTTCTGTTAATAACTAAGTATTAATTTTTGTACTCATTCGGCCAGCATTTGTTTTTAATATCTAACTGAAAGTAAAATATTTTGTGTAATTTTTCCGACTTCGGGTCAAGGTCAAGGTTATGGTAAAATCGTTGAAGATCAAAAGATCGGTGTGTAACGTGTTCCGGAATTGAAGGTAGAATATTGACGGCAGTTCGGCTATTCGTTGGTCAAAGGTCATTCACTTGTTAATGCCCGTTTTGAAGGATTGAACTTTTTCTTCCAAACCTATGTAGATACATGGGAGGTTGTCGCGAATGTTCTTCTAATACAATTCGTAATTTCTTGCATTACTTAAGACCAAGTCTAATTTATGATTAAAACGTCACGTATGATTTGCGTTGACACCCCTTTATCTGTGTGCATAGATACAGTTGCATTTTAGGTTACACAAAAATAATGCGTGAAGGTCAAAATGCACGATAGTAAATTCTTTTATAATAATGGTAAAAATTTCACGAGTTTAAGGTCAGTTTAGTTCAACAAAAAGTTTATGAAAAAGATAAAGATTGCAATAAATTTTATATTGAAAGGTTGAGAGAAATTAAACGAAAAATAAGAGAAATAAAAAAAATATCGACACAATAAAATAGTATAGGGAAAACAGCACAGTATTCTTAAAATACGAGTTTTAGGATACCACGAAACATTTATAAATAAATACAATACTTAAAATAGATGAAGTTTTAGAAAATGTTTTTCTTAGATACAATTTTTGAGGTTGTAATCTAAAGTTCTTGTTAATACGTATGTGTTTTTGTAAAAAAATGGTTTATTGGTAAATTCTGGCTGTTCTAAATGTCCATACTCCTTGGGATATTAATTTAATGATTAAACAGTATCAATGGGGGGTTCTGTATTGTTGATCACCAAATAACGCTAGTCTAAACCAGTCAATTTTCGTCCAACAGAGAATTGGGTACTTTCCTTATTCAACACTAGATTATTTTATTTCGACTGTTCAATACAATGAAATATTAAAAAATAAACACACTTTCATTAATTGATTTTGTGACCAACTTAACTGAGTTGTAGTATATTTCCAGCAATTTTTTCAGTAATAAGTAGTGTTTGACACTAAAAAAACGTCACAATACACAATGTCGTACAAAATTCATAGAACACTGTCGTTTTTGACAGTTCGTAAAAAGTATTGAATTCGATTAGTTTTTTTTTTAAAGGGGGGAAAATCATCGAATGACTGCTCCCGCCTGGGTGAGGCGGGAGGGAGTGTCAGACTCTTACTGACTAAAAACCATCCCATTCCTTCCCCTGCACGTCGAGCCGGAGCCCCGGTAACCCGTTAGGTTCTCCGCGACAATTCGATTTGGCAAGTACCCAATAGTTTGTGTCATAAGAATTGACGTTCAATATTTAGCTGATGGACTGAAATTGGACAGAAAAAGTCTTGCTACATTTGCACCATCTGGTGATGAAAAAAACTTAATTTCATACTTGACTTTTAGATATTGTTTTAAATAATATAAATAGACCAAATTTTTACAATAACAAATACATTTTGATATTATTTAACGAAGTTTCTGAAACAGCTGCAACATTGCGGAATATCCGATATTGCCGAAAATATCCGTAATATGCCGTAATCACCGGCAATGTTAACAGCACTATTGCCGAAATTCGCCTCTAGTGGTAGTTACCACTTGATTCCTAAAAAATGCTCACTGTAGTTTTAAAGCTGTCCTTACCAAATTAGGTGGAATTCAAAGTTAGTTGTTAGGTCAATAGTATTATTGTTACTATTATAATAAGCTTTATTAGTTAATTCATAGAATAGCGAAACGCTGAAGTAGTTGGTAGAACAATTGGGGATGAAATTGTCTTTTGAAATATATATAAACATGGAATAATACTGAAAAAATCATGATAATTATTATGTATGTAAAAATATTTGATATTTATTTTCGTGTTGTGATATTTTGCGTAGAGCAGTTTGTTCTAATTATTACGTTCAACTACGTTTCTGAATAGATAATTCAATTTTATTTTTCCCTGATATTAAAGACTACAAAAAGAAACATTCAATTTGTTTGTTCGATAGAAAATCGGTATCGTTCGGTGAGGAGATTTCTAGTAGTTTATTTAATTCATAGAAAATGTATAGTTACCCTGAATTCATTTATACTAGTTCAAAATATATCCCACCATTTTTATTATTATTTTTAGTCCAAAATAATAGTTAATGATAGTACAGTCAGCATCGAAATGGTGCAATAATAATGAAATTGTTGATAAGTGCTAGACACTTGGTTAAGGATGGGTTCGAGTCCCATTATTTGTGAAATGTCACGCATATTATACTGCCAGAATATTAATATTTAAAAATCAGCTATATTTCAAGGTCAAAGGTCACATTAATGACCTTCAAAAATAAATTTTGTAACGATATTTAAGCTAAAATATTGTTTTGTCTTCACAATTAATCTCTGTTTCAAAGTTAAAGTCAAACATTTATTCCATTTATTTCAATTAGACCAGTACAAGGTACTTTTGGACGGTAAAAAAACTATGAGTCTATCAGTCCTCTAGTGAACCTATTGCTCGTTCCGAAGCGTAGCTTCTTATGGAGAAGAACGAGCAAGAAACTCCATAGGTTACTCTTTGTCATCAGGGGCTTACTTTTGAATCCAATTCCGATCGATCGACATTGGTATTATGAAATTTTGTACTCTTGAGTTGCAACACTAGCGCCCATTGCACCTGTATTGCGTGGATATTGAATTAACTAAATGGTTTTGAGTTTGTTTTTATATTCCGCACTCTGAATGCTATTTCAACAGCTACGAAAGGGGTTGTACAGTTTTGACATTGAGTCATTTTTGAGATTTTATTGGATTTAAATTGCATTGACATTGAGATTGGTTTCAAGAGTTAGCACTCTGTTCTTGGTTATTTTGTTTATCTCAGTGCTATGTATAATATCTGATGAATATAAAATTTTAGTGAAATCTACGTGTATTATAATTATTTAGTGTCTATTCTAGTTATTTTAGTAAATATTTTTTAATATATTATAACAAAAATTATTAATTTTTGACGTTAATTGTACTTAACAATACAATGTACTTGTTTTAAGAGTAAATCGTCAAAAATGGCGGTTAGGGTAAATATAATTTCGATGTTTAATTGTAAAATGTTTACTAATCAATTAATTAATTAAATTTTAATTGTAATGAGTCAAACCCCGAAAATTATTAATCAGTTTTATCGATCGAATTTAATATTTAAAAAAACATTGGTTAAAATCGTGTCTATTGTCAATGTCATCTAAATATATTTACTTTACGTCGTTTTAAATGTAATTTAGAGATTTCTAATTAAATATTTATTTATGTACGTCTGTTAAATTAAATTTTTATTTTAAAATTTTAATGTTAAATAGCTAAAATTTAATTTTGGCTTGTCTATTTAATGTCTTCAATATTTTATTTTAAAGAGGTATGCTAGATGCGTACGATGTTCATAAATAAGAGTCCCGTTTTGACTTGAAACTAGTCGATCTTTTCTCAATTGGTTCCATTGTGTTAGCCTTCCTATGTATGTCATTCCAATAACCTCTGGTCCTGTAGTATCTACATCTACTGTCTGAGTAAAGACGACCAACATTCGATTATCATGTGACAAAATATTCAACTTTTTTTAAGTATCAATTTTAGACTACCTCTCCCAATCTCCTATGGGATTGAAGGGCGTGATATTAGATTATGTTATATTCTATATTAATCTCCTTCCTGTTAAGTTTTGATATTATTAATTATTATTATTCTTATATTTATCTACTAACTTGTGTGTTTCACAACCACTGAGCTTATGTCACATAGTTATAATTAGAAAGGGGTATTTGACTAAATAATAAGAATTATATTAATAAGCCAGAGCATACGGCGTCGCGTCTACGGTGCGTATACGCGCAGTATTTCTTTGCTCTTTCTCGATCGCTCCGTGTATATACGCTATGTCCTGCGTGATCGATCTAGAAGCGAATGTTTGGAGCGGTGTGGCGCGGAAAATAACAACTGTCATATGTAGATGTGGTGCTGTCAAGTTTTTGTTTAGTTATAATGTCTGAAATAAAAACGAAGTACGCATGCATGTAGGACATAGAGTCAGTCAAGAGAGTCTAGTCCCATGAAAAAGGTGGCAAATTCAAAAATCTTTCAGGTGTCAACACTGATATAGCACGCTGATACTTATTGATACTCGAATTTTTGATAAAAATCAAATTATTTGAAATAAATAAATAAAAAACAACAAGTTTTTCATGAGACTAGACTCGCTTGGCAGACTACAGCCGCCGCGTCGCGCCGCATCGCAAGGAATTCGAGTGTCACCGTTTCATAATCGTGTTCGCTTCTAGATTGCTCACGCAGGACATAGCGTTAGGTTTCAAAGTTGCGTTCGAATATCTATGAAATCGAATACGCCGTGTGCTACGGGCCTTACATATACTCAGACTTTTAATTTCATTTAATTAAACTGTCAAATACCAAGCGGTCACCGGTGACCGCAACCTATTGTTCTATAATTGTGTCTGCAAAACCGGTACTCGACGAGTTAAATTCGGATATAACAAAATTAATCGATTTGGCATGTATGAACTACATGGATTAAATCGCTAATAAAATCGATTCGTATCGATACCCCTACGAGGAATAAATTAAGTAATGTTGTGTTTATAATTACTCTTTGTTTTTAAAGTTACCTTGTTTTAGCCATAAATATTTGAAAATGATATTATAAATATTTGTTTAGTTTAATTTAGTCAATTGTAAATGCAATTAAATGTTTTCTGAAAAGGTAAATAATACAAAAGAACAAATTAAAAACAATATAATATTTTTGTGATAACACAATCAGCTGAGAGGCTGAGACCCATTTTTCACGTCAACATCGAAATTGTCACAGCCGTTTTCGAGAATATGACTACAAATCCACATGAAAAACTTGGTTATAGTTATTATGTCAAAAGTTTGTGAGGATGTGTGTCTATGTGTTTGTTACTCTTTCACGGCAAAACGGCTGAAGGAATCAGGATGAAATTTGGAACGGGGGTAGATTATGGTCTGGAATTACACATAGGCTACTTTTATGCCACGGCAATGCGAGCGAACCCGCTTGCAGAAGCTAGTATTACATAGGATAGTTATTATATCCTCCTACAAACATATATTTATCTTTTCAGAAAATAATGTTAACTTTCTTTTACTTATAGTACGGGAGCTAGCAACGTTTGGAAAGTAAGAATTTTAGGTCAGCTGATTTTGTAATTGTGTCTATAAATACGGTACTCGACGACTTTTTCATTTTAATTCAAAAATTTATTTTAAGTTTTTTTTTATCTTTAAATAACATAATATTAAAATTACAGACATTATAAAATACTTTGAAATTTTAATAAAAAAAAAAACAAAAAATCGCGTATGGCACATAGTTAGCATTGTCAAAAATGTCTGGCAATAAAAAAAGTATTTCAGGTAGACTTATTTAAAAACAAAAAATAAAAAATTACGCCTTCTAAAATGTTTTTAAAATCCAGGATTATTACCTGGACAGGTAGGATGCGCACTAAAGAACGCAACCGCTACCGCCAGCCAGATAGCCCAGACTCTAACCGAAAGTGCAAGAAGGACGACATATCACAAAATCAGCTGACCTAAAATTCTTTCTCGAAAACGTTGCTAGCTCCTATACCATTATTGTTATTTTTTTGTTACTTGTTAAATGTATTTTTGGTATTTTTTGAATCGTTCGAAAATTTCCAACGAAATGTGACATTCCAATGTAAATACTCGTCTATTGTAAGTTTGTCAATTTCTGTTTATCCTATGACCAATTTTGATAACCCTTTTTTTTAAGGGGGGGAAAATCATCCAATAACTTCTCCCGCCCGGGTGAGGCGAGAGGGAGTGTCAGACTCTTACTGACTAGAAACCACCCCGTTCCTACTCCTGCACTTCGAGCCGGAGCCCCGGCAACCCGTTAAGTCTTCCGCGGCTCCGTATCGGTATCAGCCCTGTTGGGGCCCATCTGTGGTGGTCTGATGGCTCCAATTTTGATAACCTGTCTGTCGATTGTTTGACTATTACCGAGGAAATAAAGAATATTACACTTATACATACAAGTTAAGCGCGAAAAACCATTTTCTTCTTAAAATCGGGTAAAAAAGTTATGAGCCCTTAGCGTGGTTCGAAACTGGTCAAGATACCTTGATATATCGTACGAAAAATCCGCAAAATATGTTCACACAAAAGTAGTCTCTAAACATCAAAATTAAGGTCTATAATGAAGTGAGTGGAGAGCGGTTTCCGGTGACCAAAGTCAAAGCATTTATTTCAATTAAACCATAATTCGGTACATCTGTAACTTTAACAAATACAAAACAAATAATAGTCTGTCAGTCAAGCTAGGTGCTCATTCCAAAATGTAGATTCGAATGGAGAACGAGCAAGAAACTCCATTCGTTACTCTTTTAAAAAAACACCGCCGTCGCTTGGAGATTAATCGAAGAATGTTAATTTTTTCTCTCTTTCTTTTTATTTCTTAGTAATAAATTCTAGTAACTGACAGATAGGTTATTGGTATTGGATTTAAGTGTAATTTTATGCCTGTACAGTTATCAAATGAGTTTCCTGTTCCTAGACTAATTGTTACCTCTATATCTATTGTACTTGAACCTTAATAATGGGAATGATTGTGAATTAAGATTGTTCTAGAAAGTTACGCTAAGGAAAGGGCTTGTTTACCACTTTATTTCCTGATTGTGGAAAAAAACGTACGAGTACCTATTTGATTCTCACCCTATTTCTTTCACATCTTATATTTTTCTAGAAGTTAACTTAAAGGCTCGTTTTTCTAATTCACAGTCGTTTCCTATTTTATTGTGAAATAATTTTCGGTGTTGATATCAGAAAAATAACTAACAAAGGTTGTTTAACTGGATAGATGAAACAGGAATATAAAAAAAATGTTCAAATCAAATTGTATTGTAACTTTCGTGAGACATACTAAATAAATTATGTTTTCGGCTTACTCACGTAATAATTTGACGAGGAACACGACTAGTTTCAAGCCATGCTAGGGGCTCATATTCATGAGCGGTATTTCGCGACCCGCGACTCGGCGACTGTCGCGCGAGAGTAGCAGCGCATGGCTCGAAACTAGTCGAGTTCCTCGTCAAATTATTACGTGAGTAAGCCGAAAACATAATAATTTACAAAGTTATGTTTTTTATATAATAACTAGATGATTCGGCAAATTTTTTCCTGGACTTTCACGAATACCTATTTCAAGATCAAAATTTACCAAATCGATTCAGCAGTTTTCGAATTTTAGCCAGACTAACGAACGGAAGTTCATTTTTATTTATAATAAGATGTCTTCAGTAGTGTGGTCAATATAATTCATTACTTAGACCTATCTCTGTATCTCTCACACGCTATAGTTGCTCTCTTCCCGTCCAGTAGATCATGTCAATTTACCTAAAAATTATATTGAACATACTATATAGACGATAACACACCTTAACTGTCATATATAAGGTCAAAATTACAATAATAATATTCAAATACAATTGAAAACTTAACTTATTGCTTTAATATTATGGTGCATTATTGTTTGTTGCCTGCTTTTAGTGTTAGTTATTTTTCTGATATATAAATAGTACCTCAACCAAAGAGTAGCCAATGTCTATGTACTATATATATGTATAATTGTATGTATGGTTGTTTGTATGATATTGTAACTCTGGTAATTCGCTGGTCGATGTCGCCAGTTTAGAAAATAATAAAGAAATATTTGATTCTGAATTCTTGTGTTTTATTCATCGTACCCTGGTACATAATGAGTAGTTATAAAGACTGCAGGTCCATGTCAAAAGCTGATGGGTCATTTGAACTACCAGGTGACCTACCTAGAACGATATAGGAGCATAAAATAATAAGATTCAGTACTATGCCGTCATTTGTGAGCTGTCCAATAAATAGCAGGTGAGAATTCAAATTTTGAATTATTTTTTTGAATTTCTGAAGTACAGGTAGACTGTACTCAGTCTCATTTCAGGGTAAAGGGCCATCTGATACAGTATGGCATTAACATATTATTGAAGAGAACAATTGATAATATTGAACTGTCAATCTCAGTATCAACAGATTTGTATACTGTTTGGTTTATTATATACTTCACACATTATCGATTTTTGTATCCACATAAAAATTGTTGATTACGAGAATCGAATACACAACACGTTGCACAGCAGCCGGGATAGTAGATGATCAGATCTACTATCACCTTCTCGATTTCGGAATCGAACTCTCATTACTTACGTAATTAACGATATACCTTTGAAAGCTGGAAGGTTAACACCCACATTTTACCAGTTATAACTTATGTCGTAGCTCTGTCGGGTTATTTTGAATTAAATCAGAATACTGCAACATTAAGTAGGTTTATTCACAAATTAGAATCAAGACCAGCGGCGCACCGACACAAAGAAAATGCCCGAATGCCTTGGCGTGAGTTAGCGGAGTGTGTGGATGAAGAAGCGCAGCGCTCGCGCGGCCGTGGGTCTTTATACCACGTCCCGCGCGTCGCCGCCTCTGTGGTCGATGGCCATACTAATGCGCCGACAACTTATGAATCCCAAGTCGGGCAAATTGTTATTGTTTTCGATTTTTCAAATAAAATTCTCAGTACCAGCTCGAATTTAGGCTTACCAATCAGATACTGGTGTCCTCTCTCACCCACCCCTATATAGACTTTATTTCCAATGTTTAGAGACTACTTTTGTTTAATACAAACATAAGGTGTTATGTTTAGAGGTTTGATAAATAGGCCCAATCCTAATTAATGACCTTGAGTGACCCAAGCTCACTCTGACCCTGTCTTTCAATTTTCAAATACCTATCTATGTCTTTACAGGGTGTGTGCACCTAGGGGGCTTCGAAAATATCGTTAATTTCTATCTAGGACATTTAGTTTTCGAGATATAATTATCAAGCAAGAACTTCTTCTCTAATCAAAATATGTATTGTAATTTAAGCCTCTAGTTCAACCCTAAACTTTTTATTAACTCCTATTCACCCACTGGTAGTTTATAACGTTTAAGGTTCTAAGTTTTGAAAAGTGGGCCTACTTCACCCAAGGTCACTATGACCCTGTCTATCAAACGGCCAATGTGTCTTTACAGGAGGTGTGGACACTCAGTGGGCTTCCAAATTTACGTTACTATTTTGGTTAGAACTTCTAGTTTTCGAGATAATTAGATTTCTATATACCTACGACAAAAAAACATTTCGTTGATATCTCTTCTGACAGAGGGTGCACCCTGCTGCCGGCGTCCGTGGGCAGTAGGGTATGGAGACTGGTCGTAAGTCGATGTTTGGTAAAGGTAAATAATACAAAATAAAATTTTATTTATAATTTTTATTAAATTAATTATTTCTATAACTTTTTACATATAGTAAATTATATGTGCCACGTTTCGTCAATTACATTGAATAATGCTGCCATGTCACATCAGCATAGTCACAATAGTACCTAATGTTTGCCTCTACGATCCGACAACGATTGGCTGGCCGCGACGACACATAGCGTCGGACGATCGACGCTCCCGAGCGCGACGTGCTCGACCAGCGTGGCCAGCGTGACCGGCGTGGTCAGCGTGACCGACGTGTCGAGCACGCCGCGACGAGGCAGCGTGCCGCGGCGCGGCCCCGGGAGTGTCACGCTGGGAGTGTCACCCCGGCAATATCTCTCCGGGAGTGTCTCCCCGGGAGTGTCGCCCCGGCAGTGGTCGCCGCGGCCGCCGCCCGCGCGACGACTCGCCCCCGCACACAACTTGGTCCAAGAATATATTTATGAAATAATTTGTATAAAAATTTTGGCTCCAATATTTACAAATGCACTGATATTTTTTTACAACGCCGGACTAATTTTTACAGCGACTAAGTTGAGTAAAGGGTCGCGGAGGCGAGCCGGGCCGCGGGCGTGACGAGTTTATTGCAATTCATTTCTAATAACACATTTCTTATCTAATAAGAGTGCGCGCGTACAGTGCGCGTACGTTCTAATACCCTATCGTTACAGTGGGACACGCTACGACTGGAGACAATGGGAAGAGATGCAACACAAGCGCACTGTAGCAATAGGATACAGAGACAACGTAATGAGAAGAGACAACACCGAAGGCAGAGCTGACTGGTTCGCTGGCCTGACGTCGCCCGCGCTAGCTACTCGGTACTCGTATTCTGACGATACCTTCTCCCTGTTTCGTGTTTTAAAATTAACATTTAGAATTAACACACAAGTTGAGGGGCTTATACAGAATTTGTACTCTTAAAGCGTCCCGTCGCCGCTTGCACCCATGTGACACCCGTACGGACATACGGACAGAACTATGCACTACGATACTAGAGGCCCGCAGTCGCGGCGCGACTTCTTCGAAGCGAAACACTGGTACACTGGTATGATTTCAACGACAAAGCACGGTTCTAACAATAAATTAAATAATTTTGTGATACATAAATAATAACCGAATGATAAATATAATTTTGTTGCTATAAATATTCTGACAGAGGCTAGAGTCTGAGCGTTGGATAGACGGCGGTGTCTGGCAGCACTGCGGCCCCGCTAACAATGGCAACACTAACATTACGTAAGCTGAACATTTGAACTAACGGATGGATGGAATCGTTCGATACAACAGAATCAGTCGAGGGCACTCCCACTACACAACAGTAACAGACAACTGGCAACAAGGGGCGCAGTGCGCACACCGCCCTCGCAACATTACCGTAAGAGATCAAACTGTCATTAAACAAACATTATACTTACAAATGATAATACGTTTACAACTATCCTTATTATACACATCCATACCTAAAACAATTTACAATAATATTTTATGCAAATTATATTTAGACGTTACATTCAGTCGGGCAAGGAGGAAGTAATGAGATAGACTCGTACGAAGCCCCACCGAATGCCAATATGTAGATATTTACTGCAAAATTAATATAATACAATGAAACATTCAGTCGTTCATTTCAGAAATGAATCAACAATTTATTACAAGATATAGTTCATAACAAAAATATATATGTACTCATTGAGATGTTATTCTGTGATCATTTTGTAACACATTTATGTATAGTTTCAGCTCCAGTCGTGTATAGTAAATTACTTTTTTGGTACATGAATGTCCACATAGCTTAGGATCGCAACCAAATAACTGTGTCATCACGCCCGGTGGAGATAGCCAGCGATGTGGAGACGCGCGATAGTGAAGATAATATAATATCAATACGAGAGATGGGTCAGCTCAATAAAATGACTTTGTACAACATTAAAATATCCGTTTTATTTGCACTTTGAATTATTTTCCGGCGAATATATCAGTAAGTAGGTGTATGACACATTTACCCAGCCGATATTGTGTGACAATGAAGTGAGATCATTAATAATAATTCAATATTAATACTTAACAATACGATGGTTAGTGGATGAATTTACGAGCAGTTGATTTTTTATGCCATTTTGGACTGTATCCTCAATGGGATAGAGTCAAAAATAACATAGGATATAATATCGTATTGTCTACAACTACCGCGTATTTCAATAAAAAATAAGAAGTACATATGAGTGAGTGAATGTATGTGTGTGATGCGAGCGACGTTTACATCACGTAAACCGAACGTTCTAGCGTCGGAGCAATATGGCGGACCAAGTGACGATTTACGAAATATAAATGACGCCGCATGTAGCATGTAGCCTGCGCTTAAATACAAGCCTTGTATTCCTTACCATAGAATTCAAAATAAATTTCGTAAATAAACTTGTTGCAAATAAAGATTTTAATTTAACAAGAAATATTTGCCACAGCCAGGTCACGCTTATGTCGATCGACGCGATTATAAAACTAATTCTCATAGCCGAATGTGTTAGTACCTGAGTTCAGATGGAAATTCTCGTTAGAATTGACTTAAATATTAAAAAAAAAATAATTTTTGGTGGGTTCCCTTTGTTTTGTGTTAATAAAACCCAATTATAAAAACTTTACTCCAAATCGGAAACATACACAGATCTAATTCTATTTGATTAATTTTTACAAGAAAAATAATTATATACAAAATATAAAATTGATATATCTATACAACATACACTATAATAGCAACTTGTTTTTGTGGAAATCAATAACAATAAGTACCTAGAGAGTTTTTCAAAAACGATTTTCTTTTCTTAGACTTTTAAAATTTATATTCGAACATGTCCGATAGAAAAATTGAATAATAAATACAAAAATAACATCATGGTCACTTGATAATGGCGTGTTGGGGCGGCGCGTGCTTGTACGGGGAGTGATACACGACACGCGCCCTCACACATCGCGGTACAGTAAATGTGAAATACAAAATATTAAAAATTATAGTGACATTATGGTAGATAAAGATTTGCACACATTACGTGTTTTCAACACAGTGGAATACATGCGCCACTAGACTACACGATATTGCAACTCATCCAAACGAGCCAGGCTCGGTACAATTAAATAGAAAGAATAATAAGAAAAAAAAAATACAAATTCGTCTGAAATGTGATAAATAAACTTTGAATATAAATTTTTGGCAATTTTGTACTTAGTGATGGTTCGCAGAGGTGTGTAGTGTGTTCACGTGTACAGTGTCGTGTGTGTGTGTATGTGTGTATGTGTAGTGTGTGTGTGTGTGTGTGGGTGTGTTGCGGCGCGGGCGTAGGTGTGCCGCCGAGTCACTCTGTCGCGTGGAACGGTCGCGATGTCGCCGGCGTCGAGTTCAGTCACAATAAACAACATTCGCCTTAGTACATGTATCAACAAAATGTCCTACGTTTGTTTACGTTATGAAGTTATAACGTGAGCCGCGGGCCGACGTGGCCGCAGCTGTCCCGCGCCGCGCACCGCCCACCTGCAACAGCATTACATTGGCGATTACAATTTAAAATGGCAACAAACACTTAATAACGCTACTTTAAATACATACAAATGGTAAACAAAACGCATTTAATGTCAGGATGAAGTTTAACGCGTCTTCGCACACGAATCGTTTTGATGACGTTCGAATAACGCAATGACAATAAACACTCGATCACATTTGTTGAATATGCTTTGTATGTATTGAAAAGTTGAAGCGATTTAACGACGGTACGCCTGCGATACGACGTCGTGAAAGAACAAACTCTATAGGAAAAAGTGTTAAACTCACCTAGACGAGCTTCGTGAGGCGAGCGGCGCGGCGTGTCCGCGGCACGTTGGCGACGCGCGACTTGAGCGGCGTGCGCGGTCGTCGCCGCGCGCCCACGCCCACCCCGCTGTCACCGCTGTGCCCCGACACCAACGACTCACTGTCGCTCTGGTTCGACGTGTAGCCGATCACGTCAACCTCATCTGGAATTTGCAGAAAATAGTTTGTTAATAATAGTCCAGGCAATATGGCTTTTAACAAAAAAGGTTATATAATAAAAACGATTAATTTGATTCAAGTAATATTATCGGCACTCCTTTGTAAACAGACTTTACAAGTGAATGTGAATATAGAGCACATGTCATGAACGGTAGATCCAAATAAATTTAATCTAGAAAAACAATAAATGCCATAGAAACGTGATCACTATTTCGTCATTCAGGTGTCCCAATTTTGTCTTCCAATTGTTTTATACCCAGGGTGCTCGAAATGCAACGACCACTTTTAAATTGTATCTTTAATTAAAAACGAATTCGTACGACTTTAGATTAACAAAAGGTTTTCTAGTTTTCACAAAACTATATTTTAATTTAAAAAAAGTAATAGAACAGTCGTGTTACTAATTTTTATTTAACTCTCTTTTATTTTGACAGATAAGTTGTTATCTATGAGTATAGTTACAAGTGGTATCTTTAGATGGTAGAAAATTTTCAAAGGAAGCATGGATAACAATAATTATGTTGCTACATGGTACAAAGGTTATTATTAGCTGCCTGCTATTGCAAAAAGCGATATATGCATATAACGTATCAGATAATAAGGCTTCATAATGTATTCCAGCAAAAAATAAATTGTCCGAAAGCAAAAGTACTACTTAATATGTAAGTAAAATATTTTACTTAAGTTTTTATAAAAGTAGTCAGTACTAAGTAAGTAAGGCTAAGTAAATACTAAACTTAGGTAGGTTGTAAGTTAAGTTTTTTAGGATGTTTTTGACCTTTGAGAACGTAATTTAAAGATCTAATTTAATTTCCTAAAACATCTTTTGAGAATGAAACATAATTTAGTAGAGGTGTAAATATGTAAGAAGGAATAACACTGATAAAATAATTGCCATCGTCAACAGCTTCTGACAGTCCAGGGGGCTTACTCTTGAATTAAATTTCGATCCATCGACATTGCTATTGTGAAATTTTGTACTCTTAAGTTGCAACACTAGCGCCCATTGCATCCGTATTGCGTGGATATTAATGAACTAAATGACATTGAGTTTGGCTTTGTATTCTGTACTTTGAATGCTATTTTAACAGCTACGATTGTGGTTGTATAGTTTTGACATTGAATAATTATTGAGATTTTATTGGATTGAAGTTGCATTGATATTAATTGAATTTTATTAATTATTTTTAATTAAAAATAAACGTTGCCTCACAGAAGGATTTTTTCCTGTGTCGTGGGTGCGTTTACAAACATACAAGTTCACATACACATAACAACACCCAGACTCGAAACAACAATCTGTGGATCACACAAAGAGTTGCTCAGTGCGGGAATCGAACCCGCGACACGTTGTGCGGCAGCCACGTGCAGTCATAGTCATTGGTTTCAAGACCAAACATCTAGCACCAAGCCTTCCTTTATACAATAGGGTTTTAAATATCTCCATGTTTGTCAGGTAATTCGGAAATCAAAGTTTTAATGCATGCTCAGAGAGTAACGTACTGCCACTAATAGATTTATTGTGCTAAACCTAAATTTAAAGAACACATCATTAAATGTATTAATAAAAGCAATCAGGACACCGACTCCGTATCTTGAATCATTATTCCAAAATCTGAGTCTTTGTAATTAACTAACTGATTAGGTAAATCATTTTGCTGATTTTTGATTTTGCTGATTAGGTAAAGCATGTTTACAAAATCTAGAAAATAAGGGAAATTTATTATTAGCCTTAATCTCAGTAATTCACGCAAACTATTGTAAACTATATGTAACGCTGTTGGTTTTCTAAAAAAATAAATATACCAATAAGAATTCAAGTTCCAAAGACTAACCAGGGAATGTATGCAAATTACATTTACTGGAAAACAAACTGGCAGCATGTTTGCGACTAACTATTAACAGGTAATCCGCTTTGAGCTCGCAAATAGCTATACAAACAAGTTTGTCGTGTCGTGCCTCGTCGCTAATTCTACATACATTCATATTTAACTTATTCTGTAAGGCTATACATACGTGAAAGGGCAAGCAGAATTGTACTTAAAAGTATATCGAGTTTTCATTTAGCTAACTTTTAGTTGTTAGTAGTTAGTAAGGGCTATAATAGAATGTGGTTTTATTGCCAAATGCCAAATTCAAGACTCTGCTTCAAGTGTTCAGAATTATATGAAAATTATAATAATACATTGTCCTATCCGGACAATGACTACATGCTCCATAGCCGCTCTTGTCTACTCAGATTTTGAGTGACACAACCTTATCTGCTAAAAAATATAATATTGTTCACAGATATTGACTGCACCGTTGGTCCGGTGGCTGGGCAACCGGCTGTCGTGCAACGTGTTGCGGGTTCGATTCCCGCACGGAACAACACTTTGTGTGATCCACAAATTGTTGTTTCGGGTCTGGGTGTTATTGTGTATGTGAACTTGTATGTTTGGAAACGCACCCACGACACAGGAGAAAATCCTAGTGTGGGGCAACGTTTAAAAAAAAATATATATAAAATTGTTACTCCATAAAATTAAAAATTTCAAGTTCTCTTTGAAGCTTTCAATATCTCTATAGTTAAATGAACTTGTTTACTTTTTACACAGTTTAATTAGAAGCTGCCCCAAAACCTTTCAGGCTCGGTGAACTGTAAATCAGTATTGGGCACTTGATAGATTGGTTACATCAAAAGAATGTACAGCGAAAAGTAATCTTTAAAATAATGATGTTAAATAAATAAATTGCTAGCCGATCAATCAGGTTCTTTTTCGAATTAGGCAGTGTTAACGAGTTTTAAGGTCATGAATTCTTAGGAATAGATTCACTCCTTATTACTAGAACTCTGAACATACCTGACGGAAAGTAACTTTTACATTAGTAGGGTAGATGCCTAATTTTTATTTTAATGTCCGTCTGCTAGATTATTTTAAATCATTAGACACGTATTTTTTATTTTCTTACGGAAACTAGTTCCTTCGATGGTATATTGATTTGAAATGTCGCGTGATGTCACTTCTATGTAGGTACATTTTATACGTAGAAATGACGTTTTAGCCCCCACTCCTAAACTTTGATTCGTTTTATCTAAGTATTATTTTATTATACGACTAATTCGATTTTAAATTTTCATTACACGTCATCATCCCAATTGTACAAATGTACACCACTCATTTTCAAGGTACAAAAGACTCGATGTCAAACAAATTCTACTTCCACAATTGTAAATCGCATATAGAATTTGTGCCGCGCCATCCCTACAAGATCCCAGTACAAGTTTGTTGAGACTAATTATAACACAAACGGCAAGCAAGCGAGTGGATCGCAATGTGGGTAGGTGCGCGCCAATTTCCTGCAATACATGTTAAATGGCGGCCAATCGTGCGCCGCCCGTCGACCGAGCAACACGCCCCTTCCGAGAGCTCCGCACTTGAAAATTACACTACAAACTTATGGTTTAATTTGCTATTAATTTGTTGAATGTTTGATTTGTATTGAGGGACTGTGTTTTAGTTTTAGATGATTCTTGTTGTGATTGTTTCTTAAATGGATATGTTTTGCATTGATAATTTACTTTATTTCATGTATAATCAATTAAATTAGTAATTTAAAAGTACTACTGATTAACTATGAATTAGTATAAGTAAAAATATTGAATTAATAAGCGCCATCGTCATCGCGTATTGATAAATCTAGTACGAACTAACGATATAATTTTAATCAACAAACTGAAATTAGATTTTCAATTCCAGTAAACATGCTTTAATATCCGAATCTATTATTAATGTAAATCCGATAATACAGTTTTAATTATACAGTGAAACACAAAGGGTCGGAAACGCTAATGGCGCCCAACACGGGGCCGCAGACTGACATCATAATAGCGGCTTGTAGACTTAATATGTAATCAATACGAACACTGAACATCTCGCTAGTTAAAGCGCAACGTATAAAGCACCGACACAACCAGGTCCTTGTGTAACGCACCTTTGATCACGTCCCGTAAAACTGACGGTAGATATAAATAAATAAATGGATCGTTGGACATTTTGGGTATAAATCGTATTTCAGGATAAATATAACTTACAAGGCCTGCTTTTATATATCATTCGACATTAAGGCTATGCGACATCACCCTTACGTTAAACACTTTATAATAGCGACACGTCTCCACTCAGCCATACAAAACTTACAAAGGCCAAAACCTCATCTACATAGAAGCAGACACCTCAATAGAGCGCAAAATAAATCCCTCCAAGTTATTACCAACACATACAGCGCATGAATCACTCACACAATCCACGCATACAAAAGCATAGAGCCTGCAGCGCAATATTTCGTCACAAGAATTTATTTCAGCCTGAAATTGAATAGTACGGCGTGGCGGCCAAACCGTGTTAACGTGTTACACTTCAGTGCTGCGCTGGCTGAATTCAGTTTTTGGTTACAGCCCGTTGTTGCTTGAAGCTATGAAAAATATACGATGAATAAGTTTTTGTTTAACGAAACGAGAAATATCGATGGCGAGCTCTTCTATCTAAACGGTCAATGAAAAAGATATCACGTTACATGGTTTCATAGCTTTTTTATGAAGTACGCTTTATTTTGTGCTCGATAGCCGTGTTTTATATTGGCGCGGTGTCTGTGTCTGTTACGATACCAAGTATTATATATACGACACTAAGTGCTACTTAATTTTGGGATTTATAAAACCTTTCTTTTATACTTAAACTTTTCTTAAGTCATATGAAGTTGGTTTATTATCTGTACTCACTTCTGTTCTATTAAAAGTACTCCAGCAAATCATTCCTAACACAACTGTTTAAACTTTACTTAACATCAAAAGCCACCCAAAATGCATGGATGATGTCATCTCTACGATATATTTCTGCCAGTGCATAGTTCAGGAAGTCTGTAGTACAAAACATTATTATTCCCGTGTTGTTACCCAAAATGCAACAATGTAACTGATGATCGCACTGTTTAAGTCTCAGGT